GCCACTAAAATGGATGAGACGAGTATAATGGGCTTAACAGGACTTCTTCACTGTCAGCTCATTGAAGGCCAGAAAGGAGTGGAGGAACAGTTGGATTCGCTCGAAGAGTTTAATAAAGCCACCGGAATGAGCAAGGTAAGTGTTGTTATTAATTAACATTGTTTAACATAGCATTTTGTTTAAACAGGATTTGCTATACCTGTGCGCACTGTCCGGTCAAAAGAGGGGCAAATCAAGCGATGAAATACTCCAATATTTGGACAAAATTGTCGATTTGCAAAATCAAACAATGAAAGTATGAATTATATTCAATAATATAGAGATCATATGATTAGACAAATTAATTTCATATAGCATTTAGCGCTGGGCATCGAGTATTACATTAAGTTAGAGCCGGAACTAATTCTTAACGTAACCAAACTGTATCTGCAATACTCTCCTAATGAGCCCTTAAATCTGGGACAGCCGTTGCCATTGCCTCTGAAACAGGCGAAAGACATTTTGCAACCACTGGTCAACGCCTGTCCCGTACAGAAAGAGCCCCTCTATTTGATGGCGAAAGTGAAATACTTGAGCGGAGATATTCAGGCGGCCATCAGTTTATTGCAGAAATGTCTCGATATTAACCCATCCTTTAGTGACGGACACCTACTTATGGCTCAGATTTCTATACATTACGGTAATTATCAGACCGCTTCCAAGAGTCTGGAAGTGGCGCTCAGCCATGACTTTCAGGTATAACACTATTAAAGATATTATTTTAAAATTTATTAAATTAAAACTCTTTTCTATCTTTAGATTAGAGAACAAATTCAATACATTCTCACAAAAGCATCGGTTTTGAAGACAGAGAAGAAATACGACGAGGCTATTAAACTGCTAAATTCAGCACTTGGTTGTTTTAATACTGGTTTTAGTAATTTGTCACAATATAATTTTAATTGCTCTTTCATTTATAGTAAACTCTAAAAAACGGGGCTCTAATTTGGCTACAAATAACAAAATATCACTTATTCTACAAATGGTTGATATTTACACACTTAATGACCAAACGGTTAATTATTATTATTACAATATCCATAACTTGATTTAACTAAATGTAGTGAAAATAATACTTTATTTGTATTACAGACGGAGGGCTCGAAGCTATTGACTGAATTGCTAGAAGACTGTAGAGAAACCGCCGACGAGGGAAGGATTATGATAGCGAACGCCCAGTTGGCTGAGGCCAGGGGTGATATCGACGCGGCGTTGACTTTATTGCGAGACAT